AATGAAGTCTGAAGTGAAGTGTGAAACATTCCTTTGATTATTTGCCTAGAAAAATAATGTTTACGTTGGTAGAAAGAGAAATATGTAGGGGAGGAAACCAAACAGAAAAAGGGAAAAAAAAAATCTTTGCCTAAAAAAAAAATCTGTATTCCCTAGAGACACATGATTTCATAAAGAAAAAAAGAAAGTGTGTGCATGAAACATACAATGTTGTGTGTAAATTTTAAAAATAACTTGTAGGTTATAGAACCAAATGGGAATCTCTATATGGATATACAGATCTATACACACACATTTACATATATTGGGTCATTGGAAAAGTCATGACTTCTTTATGTATTGTTTTAAGAACTGTTTATTTATTATTATTATAATTATGTTTGCATTTGACCAGAGAAAGACAGAGAAAGGGAAAGTAGGAAAGCAAGCCACCAGGGCCAGGACTCAGATCAAGGCTGGCTACGTGGGAGTCCAGTGCCTTAAACACCACACCACTAGCTGGCCCCTTTCTTAGGTTTTTCTAGGCAAAAATGCATCATGACTTTTCCAATGACTCAATAAATAAGTCATGATGCATTTTTGCATAGAAAAACATAGAAAAAAAATCAAGACTTATCTGAGAACCTACTACACACACACATTTCTTTCTTCTCTCTCTAAATATACATATAACTATATATATATGAATTATATACAATAAATCACTAGCTCTTATGTATTTTCCCTTTACGCTTTCACTCATAGCCAACACGCTGTTTCTTCAAGTTCAAGTTGTCTTCCCTCCTTGTTCTAATGGACTTCACATCAAGTTCCATGTTAAACCCACAAATTACATTCTAGCTTAACTTTCAAGAATGATATAATGCAAAAGCAACCAGGACAGTTCAATATCATCGTCTGATGTTCCCTTTATAAACAATAATAGATCAGACAAAAGATTAAATAAATATAGAAAGTGTACAATTATCTGCTTCCCTCCCTCACCCCATGCTTCTAGAAAGAATTTAAGTCTCAAGCAATGATTCCATGGTTATTTATTTTTCATAGTTATAAAGTCTTGAACCAATTTATGATATGGCCAGTAAAAGAACTATAAGTGGTTCTATAAATGATCTCGGGAAGAAAACAAAACAAAACAAAGATGCACGTGGTAGGAAAAAGGAGGTCAATAGGGTAGACAGTGTACCATAAAATACTATCTAAATGGAAACAATATGGTACGTTCAAAAATGAAATCTTAAGAGATGGAAGTCAGCTTTGGAACAATGAACTTGTGCAACATATTACCTCTGTTCGCCATAAAGATCTCCAGGGCTGTGTTTTGCAGAAGATAACGACGAGAAAAGATTGACCTTATCTCTGTGAACAGCCATTTTCCATGCAACCCTTCTGTATATGCCAGGATCTGGTGAGGGGAAAAAAAAATCAGATTTTTTTCTGTTTACTTCCTCAAATTAAAATAGAAAAGACCCTATTAAGAACAAAATAAGTTTTTTTAAGAGACAAGTTCTCATTATGTTGCCTAGGATGGACTCAACCTCACAACCTTCCTGCCTTGGCTTTTTTTTTTTTCTTTTTTTTCTGGAGAGGTTTTTGCTATAGGGCGTGTGTGCTCACCAGAAAGAGAGAGAGAGACAGAGAGACAGAAAGCAAGAAATCAACCCCCGGGGGGATGGCCACACCGCAATCCCTTCTCCTCCATTCTCCTCTTGGCGGGATCTTGGGCACGCACGTGCGTGCACACACACACACACACACACACACACACACGTGCCTGGCGTGAGTTTAAGCCACTGGGTCCGGGACTTGAACCGTAGTTGGCTACATGGATGGGAGTCCAGCGACATAGCCATTATGCTAACTGCAGGTCCATGCTCTGGCTTTCAAGGTAGCCAGGACTGAAGGTGCATGTCATCACACCCAGAGCTAATAAAAGTAATGTCTGAGAAAAATAATTTGATAGTTATTAAAGTCATTTGGAAAGTGACTAAGAAAATGTACTATAACTTATAGAAAAGATGTTTAAATAAAAAGGCAGAATAAAATCCTGAAACATCTCATTATAAATATGTCTGTCTGTTAAAAATAATGATGTAATCTACTGCTTCTCAAGAAATACATATTGCATCATTTACTGATTTTTAAATTATATTATGGATAGCAAAGTTAAAACCGTAAAAACAAGATCAGGGACCAGCAGGTAGCATAATGGCTATGCTGCGGGACTCCCATGTAGTCGACCGCAGTTCGAGTCCTGGACCCGGTGGCTTAAACTCATGCCGGGCACGTATGCATGTGTGCCCACCTGAGATCCTAAGAGGAGACTGGAGGAGAAGGGATTGTGGCATGGCCATCCCTCCTGGGGGGTGATTTCTTGCTTTCTGTCTGTCTCTCTCTCTGTCTAGTGCATGTACCCTATAGCAAAAACCTCTCCAAAAAAAAAAACCAAGATCTCAAAAGTGCTTACAAATCACGAACACAATTCAGTTTCACATCCATGATTACAATGTGCCCAGCAGTACTTACATATTTCGATGTAAATATATATATGTGTGTGTTACAAAGACATGTAACACACATATACATACATACATAATTTGTAACGTTCAAAAATTGACGCTTTCAAGATCACTATTAAGCCAATAGTCACTCACTCGAAAAGTACAAAGACCGACTGTACAAGAGGTTAAGGGTCGCTTTGTTAGCGAAGGCGAAACAAACCTGCAAATGAGGTCAGGATGATCTCTGAACGGGGCGGGTGGTTGTCAGAGTAACTTGTTACCATTCTTGTCATCCCATGTGACAGACACAGTTGCTCAAAATGCTTTGCCGATTCAAAGCAATCCTGTCTTTAGTCCTAAGCCACTTCGCTGTTCTCTTACTCAAGTTTTGTTTTCCAAAAAGTTCACTTCAAAAGCTCAGTTTCAGAGCATTACAGGAAAACTAGACTTAGCGTTTCTCTCTCCACATCAGTACTAGAAATGGTAAAGAAAAAGCGATGCGTTTGCTAGCAAAACCCGATGAAAATCTAGAAAGCAAATTAAATCTAAAAACTGAGATGTTATCTTTCAAGAGTAACCACCATTAAAAACAGAAATAAAACATTCGATTACGATACTGCACCATGAAGATAAAGACGGCTATGAGCGAAGAGAAGACAAAGAATCAATTCTAAGACTTCATCCTGAACATACTTCTCTTTACTTTCCATTTTCCGAATCCTAACTTTAAATTCATCAGTTTAATGCAAATGCAGTTTCTTGGAAAAGAAATAAAAAATGAAAACCCTACAGAAAGGATTTTATCTCTGGAACCAAAGGATCTAGAACTTAAAAGATGAGTACGCCTCAAAGTTCAATGCTTTCTGAAAAACAAAAGAGAAAGTTCAAAAGACAAGACAACCGATAATGCTTTCAGCTTTGAAATTGGTGATAGAGAAACCCTGCTAACTCAGTCACACCTGAGTACTTACATAAGTAAGACCAAGAGAGGGGAACAGGAAAAGAGAGGGCAAAAATACTAGTATTGTTCTGGAGTTAAGATTTTTACCCCCAGCACCCTAACCACCAGGCCATCAGCCAACTCCACATGCTGTCACATTTCTAGAAAAGAGTTAAATATTTGTTAAACTGGACTGCAGCTCTCGTTAATTAAAATTTAACTACACTTGGGGCCAGGAAGTGGTGTGGTGGTTAAGGCGCTGGACAGTCCCACATGGCCGACCACGGTTCGAGTCCTAGACCTGGTGGCTTGCTTTCTCACTTTTCTTTTCTCTGTGTGTCTGTCTTTCTCTGGAAAAAATAAAAATAAATGAATGAATAAATTAAATTAAATAATTCTTTTAAAAAAATTTAACTACACTTGCTTTCCTGTACTTGGGTTAGAGATGACAGAGGAAACTAAAAGAAAACAGAGAAGAGGGGAACCATCAGGCTCTGTGATGTGCTAGGAGTATCACACATTGGCCTGAAAATTCTGCTTTCTAGGTATAGAGCTACAGAAGACCTGTCGCTCCTAACAGTGATGCCAATCATTGCAAAGTCATGGTCATGCAACTCTCTCCTAAGATATCCCATTTATTGGCAGAAATAAGAACACTAAAACGTTGTAAGATTTTCCGATTAACAAAAAAATTATACTCCTTTAGGCTGTAGTTATTCAAAGATCTACTTGAAACACAGCAAGTGTCATACTTCTTTAAAATGTACTTTATTACTAAATGTCAAAAATACTCAAAAGTATAGAAAATGGCATAAGCTCCATGCAAAAGCTTAACACTTAATATTATTCTTAATGCTACTGCATATATTTAAAGAAGCATTACAGAGAGTGTTGGAATTCCCATTCATCACCGTTCCCGATCCCATTTTCCTCCTCTGTCAATCCAATCACTACCCTTATTTTGAGGTTTATTATTCACACTGTGAGAACTGATATATCCATAAATAGCATCTAGCCTTGCTTCATATGTTCCCAAATCTGATGTAAATAGTATCGCACTGAATGTACAATAATAGTATGTTTTCCGAGTTAAATAGAAAAAGGTCTGGTGATGTTTTAAAATGCAAGAGAAAGAAAAACAGAAGATGAGACAGAAAACTATTTACAATTGCCAAAGGTGTCCAAAGTTAAAATCTTGGACACAGAACTAGCCTCGTTTTTCAAAAGAGGAGCAAATGAAATTTCTAGGTATAGCCAAGATACTTGGCATTTAAAAGAGAAATGAAGACTCTCTTAACTAAAGAATTACTAGCTGAAACCGATATGATAACATTTCTTTAAAGCATTCATTAGGAAAAGGTGTCAGGACTGAAAAGCAGCTGAGGTCTAGCTAAGCAAGAGATTCATTTCTTACTGGAATAGTATATGCCTGGTTCGAGGCTTCACTTCAAAGTCTCCAGAGTTCAATTAAAACTGGATTAGGTAGAAGCAGACCCTTCTTTGGGACTTTCTGTTCACTGAAACTCTACATACACTGACAGCACCCTAGACAGAGGTCTGGCCCTCCAATGAATCCGTTGCTATGGAAACCGTATCATTACCATTGCTCTGCAGTTATGACCCCAAGTCTAGAATAGCTTGAAAGCTTCAGCCCACAGCACTCTCCCTGAACGTTTACCACCTTGTTTCTTTATTGCCGGTATTATTATTGATGAATTCAACTTACCAGTCTTTCATCATCTGTTTCAACCAAGCTGATTTTTCAGTTGAAGTTTGGGATAAGGGCGTTATGGAAGAAAGAAGGCAATACATGATTTATATGTGTATATACCACACACATATGTACTACATACTCATATATGAGTATATATGTATATGAGTATATAGTATATATATGTGTGGTGTGTGTGTGTGTGTGTGTGTATATATATATATATATATATATATATACATGTAATTTCTCTACATTTAAAAAATCACACCTATCTTCTTTAAAATCATTGTCTGAAAATTAGGCCTTCTGAAAGGCTTAATTTTATTTTAATTATGCCTTCTGAAAAGGCATATTGTTTTCCCTGAATGATGCAAACATCTCTTCCTGCTACGCCACATATGGCATATAAAAAATATTTAAGAAAATGTCTTTACCAGGTTGCATTTATCCTTAGCTGAAAATTGTAGCATTTTTCACTATCTTTTTAGCTGTCCACTTTCAAAACCCCATGAATGTATTACAACAAAACTCTTTCGTTTTCATCCATGCAAGAACAAAACGAAAAACCTGTATTTATAACCCAAATATATGTTACCCTTATTTATTAAATACCAGGCATGTTTCGGAAAAAGATTTAAAGTCGTTCAATCCATATTTATTCTACTTAAGTAAAAAAAAAAATAAAGGAAGTTTTTTTTTAACTATCTTTGACAAACTTAAAGTGTTTTAAATTCTTCTTGAGAAAAAGAATATTTTATATTTTATGATTTTTCAATTAATAAAATGTTCCCCCCCCCAAATAAAAGTTACATGGGGTCCATATACGTAGAATTAATAAAATTCTAAAAAGCATTATTCGTACTGTTTAAACACTTCCATTCCTTCCCTTGTCCCTATCCTATTTTCCACCTTCTGGAGCAGTTGGTTTTTCAGACAACAGTGTAATGATTTCTGGAACATTTGGTAATAGGAATAAACACAGATAATATATATACTAATAACAGTTGTTAAGAATTACTGAACACAACCATTTCCAAACTATATGTATATATTTAACATCAAGAAAAATATTTTAAACCTGGTATACAAACTAAGTAATGCTATTAATTACATAATAATACCACTATATTAGGACAGTATAGAAACTATTCTCTATATCCCATTTTCATGGAATGTAATTATAAATTATAGTCACAAGGCTTCTATAATACTCTAATATAAAAAACAGTGAGTATTTGAAATATTTTAAA